GGGAGCCCCTGTCAGCCTGGGAGGGTCTTGGGTGGGGCCAGGACCCCACACTAGGTTCCTTCTGAATGCCCTCCTGACCCTTGGCCTGCAGGCCAGGCCACCGGGCTGAGGAGCCCAGATAATCTGTTTGCTGCCAGGAGCCTGCACATTGGTGGAGCCCCACTGCTCTTCCTGTGGCTGCGGACAGAGGGGGCAGAGGGACTCAAGCCAAGCAGCTTGGCTGAGGGTGGGCACCTTGGGGTCCTGGATCCAAGTCTCCAGATTGGACACCCAGAGAGGAAGAGGCAGGAGAGGTGGCTTAGGAACTTTGGGGGAGAGCCTGAAGGAAACAGGAAGAGACAGGGAGAAAGAGAGAAGCGCAGGGTGACAGGGAGGAAGGAAAGGAGGGATGGAGAGAAAGAGACAGATAGACAGGCAGAGACAGACAGACAGACAGAGACAGAGACAGAGACAGAAAGAAAGCTAGGAACAGGGGGGCAGAGACAGATCGTGGGTCAGGTCTCAGAACCCCAAGGCAGTGCTCACACAGAGCAGACGAGGAAGCACAGGACCTGAGCTCCATGGGTGATGTCTGCTCTTCCCCTGTGGCCTTAGAGACTTGGGAAGACATGCTGCTCTCCGACAGTGGACACTGGTTAGGGCCCAGCACTGGGGCCTGGAGTGGGTGTTCCTCATTCACAGACAGATGAGGGGACAGAGAGAAGTCAAGGAAGGCACTCTATGGCTGGAAGACCCGAGACTGGTGAACCCTGTGAGAAGGAACGGAGAACCCCAGTAAGGAAAGGCAGGGCTCTGGGGTATCGGCTGTGGCCAGGCATTCTCCTGCCAGGTCTCAGGCGAGGAGACCTTTCCTTCTCTGTGTTATATCTGCTGCCCCAGCAAAGGTCCTGGTCATCCTGGTAGGGCTGTGGCTAACCATTGTGCCACACTACTCAGTAGGAACCCCTTTCATTCATCGCCCCTCATCTCTCCCGGCCACAGCAGTTCATCCAGGTGGGGGCATGGAGCGGAACTGAGCACCATCCAGCCCACGATAGGCATTGTGGGTCATGAGTCACTGAACAGAAGTTTTCTGGTGGGGGTGTTTGTGTGAGTAGGGTAAAGAAAGGCAAAGGAGGGGTGCAGGGAGGAGGAGTGCGAGAAGGAAGGTGAGGCTGGGGCTCACATGACTGTGGGTGGTAGGCCCCCAGCAGCCACACGGTGGGGAGGCGTGGCTACAGGCTCCCTCCAGCATTGCCCTCCAGCGTCCAGCTTCCACAGTCAGGAGAAGACATACACAGTTGGACGTGGACTTGTTGACCCCTCCTACCTCAGATTCCTCATAGGTAAACTGCAGGAACAGGCAGGGAGCTAGAGATATGCAGGTCAGTGCTGGCTGCTTAAGCCTACACCAGGGAGGGGCTCCCTTGCAGCTCAAGAGAAGGAACTTGTAATGGAGCACTCGGGCAGGCTTAGCAGTGCTTTGTGAAGATATGATCAGGGAATGTTTCCAAACTCTAGGAAAAAAAAAAAAAAGGAAACTTGGAGTTTTGATGGCCTCGAGGCAATGCCAGGAAGGGAAGGGACAGAAGCCTAAAGAGAGTCCCAGCTGCAGCCACAGAAGGCCCAACTTCCCTGCCTCGGATGAGAAACATGTTCAAGGGGTATGAATGTGTGGGGGACAATGGTGTGTGTGTGTGTGTGTGTGTGTGTGTGTGTGTGTGTGTGTGATTATTCAAAGAAGAAGGGGTACACATCTCAATTGGGGGTCAATGAAAGGCTCAAACCTTTAGGGTTCACCTCTGTTTACAGAGGACCCTAGAGTAAACACCCCGGACTCACCAAGGACCCACTGAGAAGAGAATGCCCTGGGCATTGTCTGGCTAAATCTCCCTAGAAGAGGGCAGTGCTATTACTTGGTGAGGCCTGGGGAGGCAAGGCCTCTTCTCTCAGTCATGAAGGGAAGGAATAACTGAAGCTCTGGGCTCTGCTGTCACCCAAGGAGGTAACATATTCAAGTCAAGAAACTTCTAGGCCAGTGTAGGTCCGTGGGTCTGATGTGTTGCGGGCTTTACAGGGGCTGGGTGACCAGGCATGAATGCTGAGGGCTGTGAAAGGGTGTGCTCAACCTAAGAGGCCCCTTACCCAGAAGATGGCAAGACTACCCACCAGAGACTGGCCCAGGTTGGGAACCTGTTGTGAATCCAGCATGGGTGGGTGACGCTCCTTGCCCGAAGGGGTGCTCACTGCCCTTTATTCCGTGTGAATAAGAGGGACCATGACTGAGTTCAGAGTTGGGGTGACTCAGGTGTGGACCGTGCTGAGAGACTACAAACCCATCAACCCACCGCCGCTGCACCAACTGCACAGTGCTGGTGTGGTTGATACCAATGGGACACAACAGAAAGGGTGCCTGGGAGTCTCATGATGTGCTCAGTGCCCCCTGACCTACTGTGAGATAAGGAAATAAGCTTGTTCATTCACAACCATGTCACTAATCAGGGCCTCCTGACCCACCAATGTGAGGTCAGGCTGGAGGACTCTCTCATCATTCCTCAGTCCCACGGGACTCCCCGGATTATCAATCTAGGTGGGTGACACCCAGGTAGGATCCTGTACCTGGGTCAAGTGACTGGTCTCGGTGATCGTCAAGTCAAAATCTTCTACTGACTCTGCTATTTCCCAGACACTAGTACTAGGGGGTTCAAGGGACGAGAGCGTGGGACTTGGGCTAGGGAGTTAGCAGGAAGTAAAGACACTGTCTAAAGGAGAGATGGCAAGTCCTGGGTAAGCGAGCACAGAGAAGCCAACACTGGTACAGGTGTGATATGGCGGGGCTAGGAGGGACAGACTGGGTGTAGGAAGAGGGATCCTGGGTAGACCTGAGAGAGGATGATGCTGGCCGCCAACACTGTCCTGAAGTCTAGGAAGTTGAGCTGAGTTGTGGGCATAGGATTTGGGGCCTGGGAGGTGACTTGAGGAGGAAGAGGAGGCAGAGTATGGGTCATAGCTGCTGTTGTTCCCAATACCTCCAACTTCCTGAGCATGGGGTGCTTGGGGCTGATTAAAGGCTGAGGGGCAGACCAACAGAGAGAGGAAAGTCCCTAGAGACATGGAGCATGGAGATGAGGAGGTTAAGGGGAGCCCTATTCCCTCTGAGCCTGAGGAAGGTCTAGGGACTGGGAGGCATGGGACAATCCCCATAGCTTCTACTGTTTATTAGATCTGGGGACTCATCTGGTGCGAGGTGGCTGGAGAGGGGAAGGGGAAGGTTACAGAGGAAGGCTTGACTCAGACATCTCCTAGAACGCGGGGACAGCTGCCCACAGAACCAGGCTCTGTGCAGCATGGAGCAGCCAGTGTGGGAAGTCGAGAAAGCCTTCCATGGGGACAGGGACCCGGGATAGGAGTGGGCTAGAGATGCTGAGGGGCAGGAGGCAAGAGGCAGCATCTGGGATGCAGCAGGGACCAGAGGTTACATGTGTGGTGGGGGTGGGTGTGTAAAAGCATGTGGGGACAGGGCTTCAGTACATGTAGCATAGCCTGCTCATTACAGGGAGACCATCCAGGGTGCATTATACTGATATAAGCTCGTGTGTGTAAATCCCAAATGTGCATCTTCTACGCGAGAGCAAACCTTTCCCTACCAACTGAGTGTATGATTTAAGAAGTTCAGGGTCTAGCAAGATGGCTCAGCAGATAAAGGTACTTGTTGACATGCCTAATGACCCAACTTTGAATTCTGGGACCCAGGTGGTAGAAGGAGAGACGTGACTCCCACAAGAATCCCTTGACCTTCACACATGTGGCATGTGCATGCCAAATACACATGTGTACACAGATAAGTTAATACATGTAATAATAATGTAAAAAAAAACCCAACAGTCTGGAAACCACAGGGGCGAGAGAGGCATTCTGGATGGCCATTGTCCGGTTTGGCTCATTGTCTACCAGGCATGTCTACTGTCTGCCTTGTTTTAAACCTCCATGGATTGGTTCAGTCCACTCCCCCGCCCCCAATGGCGCGAGGTCTCCTCTTTCTTGGTGGGTGACAGCATCCAGGTCCCACAGGACAGGATCCCGCCCACACGCTCGTAGCCTGGTTTGTCTTCGACTCTGTACTCAGTCAGCGCTTACCTAGGCAGACACTGCTCGCAGCATTTCCTGGCAGTGGGGGAGGATTGCCAGAGACCCTTCTGGGCCCAAACTGGGCCCAAACTGCAGCGATGTACTCACCTTTTGGTTCTTGGCTCTTTGGTTCCAGTTTATCAGGGAGCCTCAGCATGAATCAGAATCAGGTAGCCATTCTATAGGCTCCAGACCCTCAATGTACAGAGCTTGCAGTATCCATGGAGACCTCACACCTGACCTCCCAGAGGCCACTCTACCCAGTATGACTTTTACTTACACCAAATCTACTAGTCTCAGCCTGTTCACAACACTGTGGTAGCCAAGTCACTTAGACACCAAAGTCCCAAGGGCCTTTGCGGCCCAATTATCCCTCCATGAATGCCCCTTCCCCCACCCCAACTTAAGGGCTCTTATAGCCTCACCTCTGCCAGGGTGCCCTCCAGGTACCCATTTGCTCTCTTCACTTCCTCAGAGATTCTCCAAGGATCTGACTGGGAGAGCCAACCTGTGCCTTCTTTCTGTCTCTGCCCCACACAAGCAGACAACTTTTTCGCACCCTTTCCTCAGCCCATTAGATAAGAATGTATTGTCCTGTTCCTGTGGGGATGCCCAGCACTTAGAATGGTCCTGACTCATGGTCGGCATTCAGCAAATTCCTCTTAGATGAATGAATGAACATCTGGCTTCCCGGCCACATGGTGCTCAACCTTGCATATGAAGCCTGATAGCCATCCTCATCCCAGGCCCTCTCTAGACCCCACATCCCAGAGGCTCTATGCAACATAAAGCCCCGGCCCCTCTGTCTTGGGATGAACATCTCTGGATGTTCCCCCTGATAAGAGGGCAGTCTCCTGTCCACCCGCTAGCCCGCCACACAACCCCAGCTGTACCTTCAGCAGCCACTGCGTGTTATTCTCTAGTAGCTTCTCCAGCTGACTCACACGCTGGGCTCGCTGGGCTCGCAAGTCTGCCAGGGGCACCCTGGAGCCAGGCAAGTCCCTCTGAAGGCTGTTGGAGCCCCCCAAATCCTCAGGTGCCAGCTGGCAGAGATCAGGCTCCGGCAACACAAAGGTGTAACTACACTGGCCGTGCTGGACCCGGTGAATATTGCGGCGCCTACTGGCTGCTGACCCTCTCTGCCGGGCTGTAGTCATGGTGGCCAGCAGGAGGAGGCCACCTAGCAGCAAGGTTGGTTGGCAGAGCATCTCAGAACAAATGGTGATGAGAAGATCTTGTCAGAGGTACCAGGGTGGGCACCCACCCACAGTCAGCACTTGCCCAGATGTGCTGTGCAGCTGGGCAGCTGGGGCCTGTGAAGACAGACTGTGGCTGCAGATTCCTACTGCTATAAGTCCTGAGGGCCAGCTCCTCTGGGCTATTTATACTCAGGGCAGCCACAGCTGTTGGCTTCCCCTGTGAGGCCTCGCCTCCTGCTCTCCCCCCCCCCTCCCCCCCCACCTCTGTCCTCTCTCTGTCCCGTTCTGCTTCTGAGGCTTTGATTGTGCAGTGGGGCCTGTCCTCCCTGGACAGACTCGAGGCTGCCCTTACACACACACACACACACACACACACACACACACACACACACAGGCACGCACATGCACACGCTGGACCACAGCTCATCCAAGGTCCCTCCCCAGTGGGAAGCATCTGAATCTTCTTCCTTTCCTCTCCCCAGTTTTTTATCCCCTCCACCCCCACCCGTGTCCCCCAAAGACTGGTTCTCAAGTTTTGGCCCCTCCACCACCTTCCCCCTCTGATTCCAAGTTAGGCTTGGAACACAGGCAGTGACCCCCAGAGCAGCCTGGGGAAGGAGGGAGCAAGGCGAGGCTGGGGAAGCAGCCTGGAGACAGAAAGCCTTCCAAGGCTGGAGGAGAGTCCTGTGGGTGCCCAGCACGATTGGCTCCTGGCCTCCCTTCTCCCTTGGGGCCTGGGGCGGGGGCATTCTGCCCTGTGGTGGTTCTGGCTTCGTGGTGGCGCCAGGAATCAGAAGTCTCCTGGGTAGGTTGTCCCAGGACTTCCTGTTCTGGGTGGTAAGTCTTGGGCTGGGGAGTATCCTGGCCAGTACCCCTAGAATCAGAGGTGGCTGGCCCTAAATCTCACACTCCTGCTGCAAAACAGAGCAAAGCCCAGCTCTTGTTTGAGGAATGCTGTAAGTCCTGGCTCACGGACTTGAGGAATTTTCAGTCTACTGTTCAAAATCTAGCCCTACCGTTTACCGGCTGTGTGACTGTCACCAAGTCGCTTAACCTCTGTGCCTTGGCTTCTTCTTGAGCAAGAAAAATGCCAGTACTCACTTTACAGAGAGTGAAAGCAATTGAATGAGGCCATGCCGTGCAGGGACACACTAGCGAGGTGTGGTGTCACCACAAGCTTGTGTTTCTTCCTCCTGTGGATACTACAGTCAAAGTCTGAGAATGTAGAGCTTTGTCCCTGGGGCCATGGCAACTGGGACTGATAGCTGTGCTTATGGGCTGTCCTTGGGTCCTGCCTCTCAGGGTGCAGTTAGTCCACTTTCATGGTAGTGTTTCTTCTCTTTTGTATTGTGAACTCCTGGTAAATGGATGAATGGATGAATGAATGAATGAATGAACAAATGAACAAGAGCTCATTGGGGCCTGGACCCTGGACCAGGTGTGAGGCTCTGGTAGGTAAAACAGCTGGAGATGAGGGCAGAAGTTAGCTTTCAAGATGCCTGCTTAGCGGGCCACCTCTGCCTTGCTCACCTTGACTGCAGATGGGGCAGTGGAGGAGGAAACCCATGAATTCAGACTAGGAGCACAGCCTCATAGATGTGCCGGACACACAGGAATGTAGACTAAAGGACAGCTGTCACCATGACTCTTGATTGACATGCTTCTTGACCCCAATGAGGCCTGTAGGATTCCTCTCCATTTTACCACAAAGAAAACAAAGCCTGGCCCAGAGCAACTGAGTTATTTGTTCAAAGACACATAGTCTGAAAGACCTTGCGCTGGATGGGGGTAGGGAGGGAGAGGAGGTCAGGCTCGGTAGCCATTACCTTCCCCTCTACCCCCGCCCCTCGCCAGTCCCACTGTTCTCTGCCTCTTAGCCCTGGCAGCGGGCAAGACCCTCCACCAACCCAGCCTGTCTGCAGTCGATTCGGAAAAGAGTGCTCACACCTCCTGTGGGCTGTGATGTGGACTCCAGACGACAGTGGAAAGTCTCCTGCACAGGAGACACCTTTGGTGATGGAGAGAACAAATGAACAAAGGAATGAAAGTAACACGGCTTCACTCCCTGTGCAGGGTTTGCCAAATAGACACAGGGCTACGCTAATAGCTCTCTCTCTCTCAGCATACTTCACAGAAGAGCATCGGCAAGACCAGACGAAGAGCGGGGTCTCCAGTGGCTGTGCTGGGATGGCTACTTGCTGGCCCCACTACCTGTGACACATCCCTTCTTCTCTGAGGACCTTTGCACGTGTGCACATTCTCTGTCCAGAGCACTGCCGTCCATCTATTCTGCCTCTCCATTCATCACAGCACCTACAAGGGACCCGAGGGCTTGGTGGCTTTAACCACAGAAACTGCTTTTGTCGGTCAGGTCAGGAGTGTGGGTGTTCCCTGAGGCCTTCTGCTCCGGTCCTCCCCACAGCATTGTGACGGTTGATCGGGTTTTATCTGAAGGCTTCCTCTCTCATCTGTCAGCAGCTGACCTTCCCGGTCTCTTCAGAGTCGTCACCAGTGTAGTGGCTTCAGGTATGTAGGTTTCTCACGAGGCCACTGAGGGATACAGAGGTACCCAGCTCCAGAGAGCCAGGTGAAAGGCCGAACTACTTCTCACCATTGGGCTTCAGAGATGAGTTCAAGTGTTTCCACCAAGCTGCGCGTAACACTGCATCATGTCTTAAAGTTCTCAGTGGACGCACAAAGAACTTGGCTTGTGTTCCATGTGGGAGCCTGGGCTGTGTAGCTGGGCTTACTCAGGAGCCGTGATCTCCCTCTGTGTCTCTGCACGGCCCCACATCCAGCCAGCTTTGCTTTGTCCTGTTCCAGTTCTGAGTGTCCTGAGCCCACTGACCGGTCTGGTCTGTATGTAATTCTAAATGGCCTGTATATATCTGTCTGTGGCCATGGCCAAGTGAAGTCACCTCACTGACTCTTTTTATTCTGTTTTATGGGGATATTAGCCACAATTGCCTGATAATGTCAGTGCACAGTGCATGCTAAATGAAGACCAGCTGTCACTCCTTCCTGTGGTCTGGAGATGGACTGCCCCCAGGGTTTGTAGGTAGGCACCTATCAAGTCTATGTATCAACTGGAAAGGCCTTGGGAAGGAGGCTAAAGGAGGGCAGGGCAGGGTCCCATGGACAGGATTAACACCCTTGGAAAGAGGTCCAGAAGGGCATGGTAAGCTTAGGGTTTGGTTCTTGGTGGTGGTGGTGGTGGTGGGGATTGCTGAGGAGAGAGAGGGGTGTGTTGATTTTGAGTGACAGTTGGGGTGGCTGCAGTGCAGAACGTTGTTCTCAGATGGATTTCCGGCTAGCGTCTTGCTTTGGGTTTCCTGAAAGAAGTCCAGAACTGCAGCTCAATGATTTCTGCTACTTCTCAGCCTGTGTGGACCAAAAAACTGCTGTCACGGTCACAGAGGGATGCCTGTCTCTTGCTGGGAAGGCAGGCTAGTCTGTTTCCAATGTGGCAACCAAGTGCTCTCTTCTGCATACTCATGGGCCCATCCTCTGTTCTCTGACCGTCTGACACCTGATGGGTCCTCTGTGTGTGCTCTGCACCCGAGGCCTAAGGCTCGCATTTCTGTATGAAGTTGTACTTGGAAGTCACCCCGTGTGCATCCTGCAATGCCACTTCCCTGCTTTGTCCCTCCCTCTTATTACTGCTCCAATGGCCCCGGCCACAGTGTCCCTACCAAAGAACTCCCCTGCCTCATAAAGGCTTGTGCTTGGACCCAGACTCAGCACCCTCTGGCTGTGGCCATTCTTTCTGACTTAGTGCCTGGAGCTTGTCCAAGGTCAGCTTCACAGAAGCATGCATAAGAGTTTATTGAACAAATAACTCCCACTGTTGGGTAGGAACTGGCTTGGTACAGCCCCAAAGAGGAACTTAGTGTCATCTTTCTCCTCCAGGCCTGGGGTGGCAGGAAGTTTCCATTTGGGCCATTCTAAGTGTCTTGCCTCCAAGAGTAGACTTCTAGGTGAATGTTCATTTTTCCAGCATGGAGGCAGAGCTTGCAGAACACGCTTTTGCTATTTAACACTTCGACTTTTGCTCAATAGTTTGTCAAAGAGAGAGTTTTGTGAGCAATACAGCTGAGAAGTCAGGGTCTAGCATCAGAGATGGTTGGGTCTCGGAGCTTAGACAGTAGTGGGGATTTTTTTCCCTCTTCTTCTCCAGGATGATTTTCGTCTTTCGGCTTCATCCTCTGACAATCCCCGCCACTGACGCTACTGTCTTCCATCAGTTCAGCAGCCCTCAGAAATAGAAAGCCACTTTCCCAATGGCTTTGGAAACATTCCAGCTCAGGGCACACAGCTATTCCTGGACCCGTTGCAATAGCTGGAGGACTGAATGGGTTAGTCACACTGCCCTGCATGCTAAAGCCTGGAACAGGGGAACAGGGTCTGGTCTCTTGAGACCCTGGTAGCCTTCCAGGAAACCCAAGGGGTCACAAAGTCTTTGACCCACCTGTCCACCCACGCTGGAGCTCAGACATCCAAGTGAGGCATTGCGCTTCCCCGGTGAGCCTGTGGGGTCCTGGGCCTTGCCTTGGACTTCTGTCACTGGGAATCGACACAGGGAGACGAAGGTCACCACCAAAGTCAAACGCAGGCCTGAGTGGTCCAAAATAGTTAATTTTTCTGCTTTCGGGAACGCAGGTGAGAAACGAGCCATTCCTGTTAAGTCACTTGCTAATTTGGTCTCCTTAAATACCTGGAGCAGAAAGAAGATAAATATCACCCATCTATATCCCTACTGATGGTCACTCTGCACCTTCCAGATGACATCCCCCAGATTCTTGCTTCTCATCCTTTGGGTAGTGAGTGAGGGCTGCCACCAACCTGGCCTCATAGTGTTACCCACCTCCCAGAAGTCATTACCTGGGCATTTCCCTCAGCACTGGTGGGCATGGTGAGGTCTTGGCAGGAAGCTCAGGGGATGGTGACAACCCTGGAGGATGGTCTGTCGGTGTCCCCAGGAAGTCAGGGGCCAAGTTTCCTGCAGCAGC